ATCCCATGTCGCTTGTTAACAATTCAGCCTTATTACTCTTCCATCCAAGCCATTTCCATTCCACTAACAATAAATTTAACCCTTTATAACAGGAGGAAACTAAAAAATCTAAACAAAATATAAGAAATACGTCATTTTATCACCATGTAAAATTTTGCTCACGAGTCTTTCAAAACATTCCGTACAAATATCACGTGACAAAGTAACAGGGACGTGACAGGAGGGGGTGAATTATTTCACGAAGATAGAAGAAGGCTGCGTGAAATACACTAAAAGCTAAATACAATCATACAAATGTTTGTTTTATTTCTTGTAGGGACAAATATATACATATTATTATTTATTAATATAAAAAAGTCATACAAATTAAATGTTAATTGTTGGTTTTACCATACTGTGTGGGCTTTCCTTTCATTTTTCAAGTCTCAACCCCCCCTGTCACGTCCCTGTTGCTAAACCACGCGAGATTTGTACGGAATGTTTTGAAGGACTCGTAAACAACATTTTACAGGGTGATAAAATGGCATATTTCTAATATTTTGTTTAGATTTTTTAGTTTCCTCCTGTTATAAAGGGTTAAATTTATTATTAGTGGAATGGAAATGGCTTGGATGGAAGAGTAACAAGGCTGAATTACTAACAAACGACATGGGATGAGAAAATGGCGCCGAATTTGGACAAAGTTGTGGATTTACCTTGTCGATGGTTAAACAGGTATGATCTACTTGAAACCAAGTTGAAACTTGTTTAAAATGTTCTTGATACCATCATGTCTGAGATGATTTACATTTTTTGTAGGATGTCGACGAGATCGCCGATAAACAGCGGAGTAAAGTGGAGAACTTGGCCAAATTCGTCCATTTGCAGGAGGTAGGCACATTTCGAATTATTATTTCGGTCAGAAAATATTAACTATTTTACACCAAACCAGTGATAATATATTTAAATAAGTACCATTTATGTTTCTATCAAAAAGATTTAGGGAAAAAGGTAATGTAAGTCCACTGCTGTTTATCTGAATTTGCAAGCCACAAATTGACGTTTAACTATGATTATTGCATGGCCATTTTCTTGTGAAATATTAGTGCTAGGCATTTCACACTTACCAATGACCACCCCAAAAAGTACCATCTCTGAACCATATAAGCACCTCAGAATAGCCAAAGCTTTTATGGTTTGGTAGATAGCAGTATGGCGAAAGCGTCGTTTTTGGGTGTGGTCGGTTTCGGACGTTTCGCCCCGGATTGGGGTTCGGGCAGCGTTACCATGTTGACCGTCATGGTCAACTTACCCTAAAACAGTTGAGATTATCTGTCCTAAATGAAATGCATACAAACTCATATACAGGTCCTAGACTATGAGCTTTACTCTGTGCACAAATTTCAACAACTTGTGCGACAGAGAAACATTCCTTCGCACGCGCCATCTTGTTTTTAGGGCAGCAACTGCTGACTAAAGTCGTAATCATTGCCGTTGCAAAATGAGTAAATTTTAAGAACAGCTGACCCGGCGTGTGTAGTCGCATACTTTAAGAAGTCTTCGAGTGTCCAGTTGTTTTCTAACGCTTTCGTTTGAAGGCTTTCGTCTTTGCACGTTAATATCAAACGGTCTAAAATCATTTCTTCGTCGTATCCGTGAAAGTCACACTCTTTAGCGAGTCGTCGAAGTTCGAGTTCGTATTGAGCATTAGTATAAATTTCCAGGTGACTATTGATTTTTCTGCATTCTGATTGGTCAAGATTCACTGTCTCTGAAGTGATAGTCACTGGTCAGTGACTATAGCTTTTTTTTCAAAATGGCTGCTCGTTTTGCCGTAGTAACAGAGGAGGAAATTCCAAAATTAAAGAAGATAGCATTCCGAAAAACCCCAAACAAGCTACAAAATATGGTTTAAAAATATTTCAAGGTAAAATATTAAACTTTACGTGCTTTTATTTGGAAAAAAACTGGCTTAGTCGCGCAACGCGACACAGAGCCGTGTCTGAGATTTAAATTTTGTAAACAAACTATTTATAGTGAAAACAAATTTATTTTTTAGTGAATTTTTATAAAGTTGTGTGGATTATTGTTTGTAAACACCTGGAAATTTATACTAAAACAATTAGTCGCCTCAGGCTCCGTGATTCCTGCCTATATTCACTTCGCCTTCGGCTCAGTGAATATAGGCTTGTAATCACCTCGCCTTCGGCGACTAATTGCTAAATAGATTGATTCGATTGTCGAACGGCTTTGTGAAATCTAAACCTCGCGCGCATTCTCATGTTTTTCGCCACGTATACATGCTCAATTTTCGCTATAAGCTTCTTGTATTCGTCCAAGTCGCCTTCTGGTTCAGCTTCGTTCTCGTCTATCGAAAGCATTTTGTCGCCATCATGAACTAACAACGGTGCTTTCATATCGTCTGGCTTTACGATGTGGACATATTTCGTTGGAATGTCGAGTCTTCGTCTCCACAATCCCATTTGCATCTGGTTCCTAATATGTCTTCGTCTGGCTCGAATTCTTCGATTTTTAACGCCTTTCTCGATTTAGGAGGCATACTAAATTTGTTTATTCCTCGTCGCCAATGTGATAAACTCAAATATCGGTTTCACTGAATTGTATTTGTGACACGTACTTTTGCCGACTACATACACAGTATTATTATACATAAGTCTGAAATAACGTTCTATTTTTATGGGGTTTCTTTTTACTTTATTAACATAACAATATACTAGATAATCTAACTAATGATACGCTGCATAATCAACTAAATAACTTAGTAAGTTCCAACTGAATGAGTTCTTAATGAGTTTTTAATGAGTTCTTAATATTATAAAACGTTCATAATACTCTCACAACAAGCCCTAATGTCACACCTTGATCTGAAGAGCATGACCAAAAACTCTCTGTCTGTACAGGTGTTTCTGAATGTTACATATGATGTTAAACACCTGATTTTACCACAACACTTGTTTTTTTCATCAGTGGGCATAAGCCGGCATACACCAGATTTACACCAAGCTGTCCTTGTGTCAGGGATTTCAGTGGGAACTACGGCGAATTCCACTATTGTGAGGAATATATGATTTTTATTACGTTTTCTACGCGAGGTAGGGAATAGTTACAGTGTTTCTAATTAGTGTCACTATAATGTTAGTATTGAAACTTTTCAAAGTCTTTTCAAAGTTATTCTTCTTCCTAAGCCTCTTTCGTTGTTCACTATTCGTTTGTTCTTTGCGTTGTCTAGATTCGTTTGAGCTTCAGTAGCTTTTCATCAGTTAAATTTTATTAAGTCTACGTTCACTGACGAATTTGGATTGTGCACGCCCTTTTATACTAACAGATAGATAGATAGATAGATAGTTTATTGAAATTTACATTGCAACCATAAGCTGAATTAAGTAAAATTTACAAGAATTGATAAAAGAGATGATCTTAAAACATGTTGAAGAATTCCAGTATGCATTATATATGTACAAGTTAGAAAATACAATACCTAGATGCTAATTATGCCTAAATTAGGTTACGGTAAAAACTATTTCTGAAATGGTTCATTGTTTAAAACAGTTCTTGAACTGATCGTGTTTATACTTAGATTGCCTAATACTATTGTTAATTATACCTTAATTGAATTACTGATGATAAAACTATTTCTATAACGGTTCGTTTTTACTCTTGGGTTATTGAATTTCGACTTTTTCCGTAAATTAAGCGAGATATTCTTTTTAGCAGGCAGTAGTTCGTGTAATTTGTGTGCATCATCGTTCATAATATTTAGGAAGACTTTGTTAGTAATCTGTTGACGCCGTAGGAATAGGGAAGTTAGACCTGATAATAGTAGGGCATCTTCGTAAGATTCTGTGGGGTAGATGATTCGCATTGCTCGTCTTTGAATAGTTTCGAGATCACTCGAAAGATACGTTGGGAGACCATCGTGATACACTGGGCAAGCATATTCAATTAAAGATCTGATGCAGGATTTAAAAAATTGTTCCAATTCCAAACAACCCACTTTGGCGCGCTTTAACTGAGTTAGGAAGTACAATCTTTTTGAAGATTTTTTAACGAGTTCGCTAACACGATAATTCCATTTTAAGTTGTCGGATACATTCAGGCCCAGAATTTTGGCATGTGGGACAATTTCAAGGGGGGCGTTATTTATCGTAACGGGTGGAAAGACTTTTTCCGATTTCGTAAAACTAATTCTCATTTCTTTACATTTGCGCTCATTTAGCACGAACTTTTCGGTTTTGGACTTGCGTACGAACTCATCTACGGTTGATTGGATATGACTTACTTCGTCTTTTTTAACGTTTAAGGGGATCTTGTACACGTGATGTAGCAAGTTGTGTGAGTTGTATCCAGCCAATCAACAATGAGTTATCAAATTGTGGGATGGCGTTGCTAGCTCGTTCCAGCCCTCAGCCCTGTTTATTTAAAGCGTTGTCGCACTTGTCGAGTCGGTTCGCTGCTCAATCGATCAATATTAAAATATGTTCGCAACTGAAATACTTATCAAAATATCATAGTAAAAATTTCAACCTATACATATGTAAACATTACTTTACCTACTAAACTAAATTTACTTACAATTTTATTGAACCAAGATTTTGATGACGTAATGTTATCATTACTCAACCGCGCGAAATATACCGAAGAATGATTGACAGAAACGCCCTAAGCATGCACATTTTCCATGTCAAAGAAGAACAAGCCTTGAGCTTTGAATTTTATAAAATAGTCTTATAAAAAACGGGCGCTGATTGGTCAAAAGCTCCAAAAAACCGTGATTCTATAACTCGATAGAAACACGGGGAATTTTCACGCGGGTTGCGTGGATTGCGCGGGAGTTTAAAAGACGATATACAAACAATATTTAATTTTGAAAAAAGTTGAAAAACGTCCCGAAACGCCGAAGAACCGTTACAAATAAAGGCAACACTTTGCTAACTTAGAAAGCGAGGACCTAAAGCACAAAGTATAATTATAGCACACATTGTATCTGTTTGACTGTTTACCAAGGTAAGATATTTTAATTTTACCTTGTCTTTTTAAAAAATATTTTCTCGCGACGTTTTTAATCATGTTTACTATAGTTTTTAATCAAGTTTAAACGTTCACTAACTATTTAAAACAGTGCTTTCTTTGCATGCAAGCATGTCTGCATGGCTTCGACGCCAGTTAGTTCTTCACTTGGCAATATACAAACTGGCGGCCCGTGCACATTTATAGATCGTCCGCTAAATCGTAACGCTCGAAAGTTAAATCTGGGTTCGATTCTGATTCATACATCGTACTAGAATCACTTTATTTCGAACAACAATTGTACAACTGCTATATTTCATATGACATCGCACGAAATGTCAAGTGACTTCCGCAAGCATGTAAATAAACATAAGAACGCATTGCATCACGGGCCTGATACTCACTCTTTAAGCTGTTGTGGTGTCCCGTTTTTGTTAATGCAATTTTTGTATCGAAGCGAATCACAATAAATAAATAAATATATATGTTTGACTTGAAGACATTTGTTAATTTTTTTTTCTCCTGGGTTAGGCTTTCCGCAATGAAAATATTCCTGTCAGCAAATCCAGCAAATCTTGATAATATTTAACTCTTATTATAGGCTAAGTACTAAAAAAAAATTTTAAAAAAAGTTGAGAAATTGAGAAGCGTTTCAAAATTGTCTACTTTTTTTATACACCTTCATACACGTAAGTCTAAATTCAATTGGTTAAGTATTTCGTCTAAGCTATCATAGCGGCAATGGTGCGTGAGAAATATGAAAAGGGAATATGAAAGGCAGACTGAAAAACCACAAATAAGTTTTTTTAAGTGCAATGAAATCTTACCAAAAGTGAAATGTTTATCCTCTGTATTGTCACAATTTGTCCATCCGATGTAATGACCTATTCCTGCTTTTTTAGCAAGTCCACCAGGATCTGTTTTAGGGACTGTACACCACACCTTAAATTTAAAATATACAGATAAACCTCCCCAAGATGTCTGGTTTATAGCACCACAATTCGTTGAAGTATTTGGAGTACGAAGCAAAAGCAGCATTTCAACTTCACCAGAACGTTTTGATGCCTCGAAACATCCCTTTCTTTTCAAATTGAACATCGCACTATTATTAAGAAAACGAGACCGAGCAGCTGGATCCAAACAGTTGTTAGAAAGATTCACGTAAGTTAAATTTCCCCAATACTCATCAGCCTGCAGTTTACTTGTGACAATAATACACATCCTTGTCTGTACATGTTTCACAAAGAAACCAGTAGCTCCTGAAATAATACACAAAAATAAAAATAAATAACAAAATAAACAATAGACTCCTGTTGCGTGTTTATGTGAAGTACCATTCGTTTATATGAAGTACCATGCAAACAGATTGTTATTGATGGCACAGTGTTTTTCACAGCTCCATTAATATGATTTATATCTCATAAGTATATTTATTTTTTCTAAACATGCATGAAACTAATGCAAACTAATTAAGAGACAATCTCCACTAAAACCGACCAAAATCGAGAATACGTGGCACATGAAGAAAAATAAAAAAATCTTCTTATTTTTTCCAGTGATACTGTCATGTGTACTCAGAAACGTGGTGGGGTTTGTTTTCTGAAATATTATTTTAAACGCCGTAAATTATCAAAACCTGGCACATAACCGAGATTCGCGAAATTAGCGAAAAAAAATTGTGAGTCACGGCCTCTCGAAAATTTCGTTTTTCTCAATTGGTGTCTCATGAAACCTCACCTTTCGTTTTTAAACGTGCTTATAAGATCTTAATAAAGAACGTGGGTCAATTTTACAATTTTTGAAATGATGTTTCATCATGAGTGTAAAAATCGCCTTCTTTTTCGTTCCAAAAATTCTAAATTGGTAAACTTTTTGAATATTAATTTGCCGTATCCGGGAAAACTCCAATTTCCTTGAAATTTAGGGAATATAAAGAGAAACTGTCTTTCTAAAAGCTGATGTAAAAATTATTTTGGGGCTTTTTGTTACCGCGGAATTATACTGACTATAATATCGAGAAAATCACAAGAAAAACCTTAAAAATCGTCAGGCAATTGGGCACCTTGCTTCAACTATAGACAGTCGAAACTTAATAATTTTTGCTTGCTTTCCCTTGTTATTTGTAGGAAATATAAAAAGTAGATCATTTTACTGACTAGTTTGCCTATTTGTAGATAAAAATACGCTGTAAACACTCCAAGACTAAGATTTCTGCTTCAATATTTTGTTTCAATTGATCGATCCATGCGCGCCAATTAAAATAAACTAGAAACACTTGTACACTCGCTAGATTCAAGGCTATATATAAACAGTCATTTACTTATATTTGAGCATGTTGTGCTCTAAGAAGTTCAGTTTAAGCGTCAAACTTCGGCCAAATGTTCATTGAGGCCGGGCAAGTTCAGTCGTTTAATTAAAGGGACAGGCCGTTCCTAGCGCGATAATTGGGAGTGTATATTCATATAATCGTCTTCTGCACGACGGTTTCTTTTGAAAGCGATTGTTTCTACGGTGGCGAGCATGAATATATGAATATACCTCCCCCACCAATTATCTCATTCAGGGCTATAAAGAAATATAGCATGAATATAGAAATTAGATTCCCTTAATATCTGAAAGAACTTTTAAAATGACGTGGAAACATTTTAAAGCTTTTTTTAAATCTCGCTTATTTCTCGACTTTAAGAAAAACTTCTGTTGTGATGGAGCTAAACTGGAACTCATTACCTAAATGCAATTGACGCTTTTAATTTGAGTTTGTGTAATTGTCGAGGGTGGAAGGTCGTACGTCGAGGTCAAGGGTCAAAAGTCGAGGGTCGAAAATAGTAAATTTTTATCCATTTTAAAAGTTTTACAACCATTTTGAAAGCTTCCAAACGCGGCAAAACAATTAGTTTTGCTTTCAAAACTGAAAAATTTTGCCTATGGCTATAATCTATGTATACTGACAGTTTCGCTTGAGAAACTAAAAGTCTGATGCGAGATTTGATGTTTGAAAATATACTTATTTTAATATACATTGGAATTTAAAATATCCAAACATGAGCGATAATCAGAGGCGATGATACAACATTTGCGTTTCGCTCTCATGAGAAATTTGATTATAAGAGGCTGTTTATATGGTCCCGCTACCCGAGATTTAATGAAGTGTGACTTATCTTGATCGAGCAATTGAGATACGTGTTTCAGCCCTGATCAAAAGTTAGATAACTTTAAATATTTTTAAACGAAATTAGGAATGCGCTAGAAGTTATGTAGTGGAGGAAGATGATTAATACCATTCAACAACATTTGTTTTTTTGTTTAAGGCATGGAATTTCATACAATTTGTAACGAGCAATTTTGTTAGATCATGACGTGCGACTAATTTAAATTGCTCAAAATACGTCACGTGACACTTCGTTAAATCCCGGGACCCAATGGCAGCAACAGAGTCCTGAAATTGCTCAGAACTTCAACTTAACG